CTCGGGGGACCCGCGCGGCCGCCTCCAGCACCGCAGCCTTCACACATGAAGCTAAAAACGGCGGCCGATCTGCTGGCACCTCCCGGGACGTGCCCGTCGCCCGGTCACTTGAGGCGCGTTTGATTTGAGACACAAAACCCACCTCCCCAGCTTCGGAGGCTGCACTCAAAGCCACCCGGGTGCGCACGGACTGTCCCCTACATCTGAGCAGCCACAACCAACCACTTGCTCGTTAAGGCAATAAAAAACAAAACGTCCGCCTGCACGATGCGGTATTTGCTCCAGACCGTTCTCCCTACACAACAACATTTCACCACAAGCTCTGGGTTTATCCTGCATGTCCTGCCAGGTACTTACCTTAAGCACTTCCCCACTTCCTCCCGCCCCTTCCCTTTGTGAAATGCAGACTTGCCCCCCCACATCACCGCTGTCTGACTCCAAAGCCACTGACACCCTGACAGCACCATCCCGAATGCAGGAAGGCTCCTTTACAGGTTCATTACGAGTGGATAATGAAACAACATGAGCACTGAAGTTATTAAAGTCTTATTATTATTCAGAACAAACACAGCATCACTGTTCACAGCACTAAGAACTGCACAAATCCAGGCATAAGTTATTAAAATTCATGCTTAATTATGCGAAAGAGCTTACCCCTCTAGGCTGCATGTGCCCATATCAATACACAAATTCCCAATTATAGACAGTCTGATTTTACTTTAAGTCAGAAGTTCTGCTACAGCCAGGACAGATACTAAGTGATTAGTTTTAACTTGCTCATCAGAAACTCCAGTAAAGATCAGAGAAGAAAAGCTTTCTAAGCAAGCAAATGAAAGCTAGTTAAAAATACTACAAGAGTTAAAAGTTAGTGTTACAACTCTACTAGCACAGATTATTGCTCCCTAGATTGAGGTCTGGCACCTGGACCCATAGCCTTAAGTAAACCATTCAACTGAAATCTGAGGGTAAGAAGGTCTGGCTATAAGACAAAAAAATGCCACAGTTGTTACATAACATTAAAGTCCCATTTTTATTTCCTGTGTTCCCCTCGGTGAGTTCCACAGTCACAGCTCAAGATAAGCAAACCACAGAGAAATCAAGAGATGTGCAATGGCAGGACTTTCACCTTTAGCCACAAAATGGTGCCACAGGCAGTAGTATTTAAAACAAACTGGGGAGGGTTCAGCAAGAAACTAGTTATTTGCCAATTACTAAACTAACCATTACACAGACAGGTTATTGAGAGAGTACAGGTGGTTCCAATAAGACATTACTGGAGATGGTAATGAAACAATCTGGAAGCACTGAACCAGCACAATTCAGCAGTAGCCATTGTAATATGTTACTTTCATCAGAAACAAATCTTACTCTCTCATACACAGAGAAAAAACCCAGAAGCTTCTAGGTTGGGTTTTTTGTGGGTTTTTTTCATTTGCTGGAAGTTGAGAAGCCTCACCACACAGACCAGTTAGCACTGGTGCTGAGAAATGTTAGGTTTAGTAGCCTTGCTTAGCACTAGAAGCTGAGGTAGCTGAAGCCTCTGGCCACAAGAGCTCACCAAGGGTAACCTTTTGATAAAACTAATGCTGCAAATACACCACCAGCTGAAACCAGCAGATGGAGCAGAATGAAGAAGGACCGAGGAAACAATTCCAAGAGAATGAGGTAACTTCAGAAGGCCAGCCCAGTGACCAAGAAAACCAGAAAGAAATCGAGGCCACCAACCAGAATTAAGTCTTTGAACTCAGGGACTGGGCAGTACGTGCCAGGAGATCTGTCTGCAGGGGTATAAGTGGGGTGTGCAATCTGCAGTAGGGATCTCTCTTCCAAGGCCCCCAGCCCAGCTGCTCTGCATGTTGGCTAAATAAACTACTTATTTAGTCCTCTTTTCTCAAGCAGGAACTGAGGGCCGAGCCCTGTTGAGGTGGGGTCTGCATAATTCCTAATATGGACCAGGTGGCAGCTGTGTAAGTCCTGCAACAGCTACCATACATACCACATTCTTTCACAAAGAATTTTTTTGCTCATCAACTCAGACTTACATTTTTTGTTCTGTTGATCAGCAAGTCATGTCTCTGTAGCAGGAACACCTGGAATAGAGGAAAACAGAGTCAGTACCTTGGTTTCTCCTGTTAAAGTGCATGCAAATATGATTCTTTAATTCCATTTTTCCTCAGCTTTTCTCAGAAAGTAAAACTGAAGCTTTATCCCTTATGGAGTACATTGCTATTTAAAAGTAAATGTAGTAATAATAATTAAAAGTAATAATATTAATAATACTACAAGTATATCCATTTACCTGCCCTTAAAAAATAAAAAAGCAGTATTAACACCAAGTACAGAGTTCCTTTAAGATTACTTAATTTAAGTTCTCAATATCTCAATGCATGTCTCTACAAACACAGCTAAGTGAAACAAAGCACTAGAAGCTGCAAGAGAAAGTTTTAAACAAAGGAAGCAATTTTGTGTTTACCCCATCTAGTAGAAGCACCTCTCTGAACATAATCAAACAAAACCATTCTTAAAACCAGTAACCATCTTTCCTTTACCAGTAGGCCACAAAGACAAGCATCACGTCACCATCACCATCCCCACTGCAAGGAAAACAATAATATTTTCAAACACAAAGAACAGTACCTTTCCATGACTTAGGCATCAGATCTCTGTGTAACTTGCCCAGTTTGATAGACCAATTAATTAAACACAACTTCTTAGAGATAGAAAAAAAAGCCAGCAGCTCAGAACTGAAGTCATACCAGCATGGGCTCCCCCCGAGGCTGCCCCTTTGTGCAGCCAGGCCGACCAGATGCAGCTGTGCTGCTTGCTCAGGTGCAGAGGGGTCACCTGCTTGGGCAGAGCAGCTGAGACCACTGACCCTTTGGGCCTTCTTCTGCCCCTCCTGGCCTTGCAGCAGGTGTGCTGCTTTTGGCTGAGCCACCAGTTATGCCAGAGCACTGCACAGATAAAGCAAATGCTACTGGTAACATAGAGGGAAACAGAGAAATGAAGACAGGAAATCAGAATTCTCTGACTGAACTGGAAGTACATCATACTACCAGCAGTGTTTTTTCACTTACAGACCACAAAGGGATTCATAAACTGATTTGTAGCACTAAACATTGTTGCTGAGCCTGTTTTTAACATGGTTCACACTTGACCTCACACCTGCCTGCGTCATACAGAGCTTGCACTGCAAAGTGATTTTCCATTCACCTTACACAGCTTCTAAACTAGGTGAAGATATAATTAAAAAGGCAAGTTAATGACAGTAAATGATCAGGTTTTTAATACTGAATTTTTGCAAATATTGCACTTCCCTGACACTATTCTCCCTTAGGAGTCTGGCTTCACCAGAAAGAACCTCACCATGAGAATAACCTATTTAAGAACCCATTTTCTTTCCCACAGCAGCCAAACATGTAACCAGTAAACAACGTGGCTGCCAAAGAGTTACCTAAGTGAAAAATCACTGATTGCTCCCTTGGCAGCAAAACGGGGGGCAAACATCACCAGGTGGAGTGTTGTGGTGGCCTGTCCTATAGGCTCAAGCACTAGATGAGGAATTTAAAAAAAAGAAAATGACATATTTTGAGGCTGTAACAGCCTTTGAGTCTGCAACAGAAAAATCAAAAACAGAAAAAGTGCTTTCTGGTCTCCACCAGCACCGTGAGTTGTTGGCCGAGTTAAAACAAGGCCCTTTCCTTACACTCTTGTGTCTCCAAGCAAAACCTCGTGCTCCCCCGCCGCTACCACAGGCTGTCCTCGCGGAGGGAGGCTCGGGAAGTCACACACCCGGGCCGGGGGGACACGGGCCGGGATCCGCGTCCGTCTGCGCATCCGCGCGGCACC